CGGGTCTACTAGTATTTTAGATGCTATGTTAATCAAACTAAATCCTATATGGTCATCAAAGGATGATTTTGATCGTTTCTTATATATTGGAACGATCAGTGATGGCGACCAGTTATATACGATTACGAAAAGAGCAAGAACAAAGGTTCTAGCAGAATAACATGAATTGCTTGTTCTTGCTCTTTTTAAAATGATAAAGGGAACTATGTGTATGATATATACGATTACGTTCAACTCCCAGATTTTAGCTAAACGTTCAATCAACTTAATCGCTAAATCTAGATCGCCATCCTTAAAGATCTCTAGAGTTGATCCATTTGGACCAGCTGCTCTTCCTTGTTTCAGATCAGCTATAGCTTTATGAATTTCAATTAGAGTCGGAGGCCTACTTCAATGTTACATTCAGGCTGTTTGGATATGGCGGTTAGCTGTAGAGCAGCTGAACTGCTGCACTCATCGTCCCAAACGTCTGGAGAGAGCAGATAAGAATGCCGACTTTTTCCGAGATTATCTCACACTTGAATTCTTAATTGCGGTTACCTACAGCCGTTGATTTTTCCATCTGTTTTGTTTTCGTCGTCCACCACTGTTTGCGATCGCTCCTTAGACTTTTGATAAATTTAGACCTCATTTGTTTTCGCTCTTTATTGTGTAGCATCCATTCTTCACTTCATCCGTGCTGCAGTCGATGGGAGCGTAGGCAGGAATGACGAGTCCTTAGGGGGCCATTAATCCGACCAGCACATAAGCAACTGTTAACGGAGATCCATTCTAAAAGTTGTTCTTCCATCATAATTAGTGCTATGTCTACCCCCGTCCGTCCACAAGAACTTGCCATCGGATCGCCAGACAGACGGAGGATGTGTCTCGTCGGCCCCCACTTTGGCTAGATGAAGTCAAGTAAATGACTACACTAGGATCTTGTATGTGTGTTTCGAAGACAGAACACATCAATCGTACGAGATTTTAGAATCTTAGTCAAGGGGGCTTGCCGACCGATTTCACACAGGATTTATTTACTATTTATTTGAACACATAAATATTGGTACAAGAGGGCACCAAAAATATACGCGCCACACAAAACAATGAGAATTCGAAGAGAAAAAAAGCAAGGAGCGTAGAAAAAGAACAATAACGAACAGATTAGTGTAAGGTAGTGTAATAGTAATAAAAATAATAATAATGAGGGAAATGGAAAGGTGCAATCGGAAGAAATCTTTCAGTTAAGGAAGATACAACCATTTTTTATGAAGGAAGTAAAAGAAGGTTACAGCAGGATCGCCACTGGCTTCTATTCTGAGTCATGTCCGATCGCGTTTCAAACCACTCTGTTGCACCATCTCTCGGACCCCAGCCAGGGAGTCGTGCCTATAAGCGGGACGTTTCACGAAACCACAAGTGACTTTACTAGCCATTTTCATGGCGTCATGCAGCTGCAACCAACGCTCATCAATACTTTTCGGTGGAACGGTAGCTAGCTTAGAAACTAGCTCGGTCCGATACTTACTTGCAACAGAAGTTGCAACCAACTTGCTGACATCAATCTTTTGGTGACGTTCACTTCATTGGCCACTGAAAAGTAAGGTAAGATTGGCGCAGACCAGGGCATGATCAGAGTCCAGATAGGTACTCCAAAAGGAGCGGCAGTCTTGTACACAACCACGCCAGCGGTAGCTGATCGCGATGTGATCAATCTGAGTCCAGGCTTGAAATGCAGAGGAAGGACGCCAGGTGGCACATCGGCGATGACTATGCCGGAAGTTAGTGCTAGCCAGAAACAGGTTGTGGTCTGTGCACAGTTGCAGTAGACAGTCCCCGTTATCTGTCCTGCAATCATCATGTCCCCATCGGCCACCCAAACGACTCTCTTCTGTGTCTAGACGCCCGACCTGAGCATTCAAGTCTCCGGCTAGTATTACAATATCTGTCTAATGAACTTTCTGTAGAACTGTTAGTTGGTGGTAAAACTCATCCTTGGTGGCATTCGGGTTGCAATCTGTCGGAGAATAGGCGAAGATGACGAAAAGACATCGTTTCTCACGCCGATTTCTTCTCACTGATGGAACTTTTTAATCTAACAGCACATAACCGACTGTTAATGGGGATCCAATCGATTAGTGCTGCCTCAGCTCTAGCGCTTAGTGAGACACCAATGCCAGGAAGACCTGACGAAGATGCCACAGGGTCCCCTAATAAATTGATTATGAATACAGTGGTTTTGAATGCTGTTAGAGGTACTAGAGCATCTATGACTTCCCGGTCCCCACTTCGTAGAAAAGTTTTTATAGAGGTACTCGAAAAGGAAATGGAGTTAGAGTTGGTCTTTGTGGCCCGAGGACCTGACTGCAATTCCCAAAGGACAACTGCTTGAGGCAGACCACACACGACGTTTGTGTGGGTAATTTTTGTGCTAGCTCCGTATCTGTTGAGACTTTACCGTCGAGGATGGAAATTCATGGGATAAGACGAGTTGTGCATTTTTAGGGTTGACCTTTTCTAGCCACACCCTTCCTTTGTGAGAAGGCAGCATCGCTGTCGTGCTGGTTGTCCGAGGGAAACACCTTACAGCCGTCACATCTCTGTACAATCAGCAGTACGACTTCGACCTATGACCCTGGGTTCACTGCCTTTAGCCTAACCGTTCTTCAACTGATTTGCTTGACATACTAGGACCTCAAAGAACGAATGCTCCAGGCGGTATAGCCCGACCATCACGTCAAGATAGCAGCAACAGTCGGGACATAAGACTTAACGTCCAAGACAACTACAGGATGAAAGAATCGGGTGTGGTTTTCATTCAAACTAATGCTCAGAAGGTTAAATGATTTTCGTCTTATTTTTTCATAAACAGTGAGCTTCAATCGCACATATAAACGCCAATTATCAGTTTCTGAATGAAACTGTCAACCACTAAGCACTTTTTTAAAGTGACGTAATCGCCCATCAAGATAAGTGATGTTGGTGCTGAAAAATGTAATTATAAATATATAATTCTTAAATGTTTTACCCTTAAATACAGGCCCGCAATATCTACTTAACACCAGAACCGTTCACAGTAGACAATGGATGGTTAACTCCAACAATGAAACTTGCAAGGATAAATCTACGAAAACATTTTGCAAATACTATTAAAAATCTGTACGAAGAGAAAAGCTGTTAACTACTGATTGTCAATATTTCGACACAAGGCTATTTTATATTATGTGGTTTCATTCACTTATTTTGACACTACTCATTTTTACCTTTTTCAATAACAGAGAACTATTGTGCTTTAATTTTGCTCTGTATTATTTTCCAAAAAAACTACATATATTTTTGCCATTATTTACTGTAGAAACAAGTATCCATAACAATCGTGTAACAACTGCTCTTTCGAATTGTTAAACGAGTTTTTTGTCATTCACAGATAAACGGATCACCAATGCCACCCGAAAGATAAGAACACAAAAAGTCATTAGAAAGTGGTGTATGTACTATGCGAGGATTTAGGAAACGCTTTCCTTTTTATTGAACCCAAGCAGATTGGAGGCTTCGGGATAGGGACTCGTCCAAATGCTTGGTGATGAATTTTAGTTTTTTGTGATATGAATAAACTACTTTAAGTACAAAATATTCTCAAAAGTACTATGGTGAATGGACGAATCTGACCATGCATTTGAAACAAACTGAATAATTGACCAGATGTCTCTTAAAACAAAGCTCAGTAAATGCATTCCCACTTTTTACGTAGATCAAATCCGATTCCACTCGACTTTGATTCCTCCCTCTTCCAAGACAGACGCCAATAACAGTGATAATACATTCAATGTGGGCACATACAAATGGGAGATTTTAGGAGCGCCATACAGTTACACTATAGGTAATGATTGAATACACACTTGCTTTGGGTAATACAACACAGCATGCTAATAAACATTAAGTGAATATTCTTCATATGGATGGATACACTATCACGTGACACATCACGCACATTAAATGAAGGGTCAGCAGTATGTGTATTTAGTTTTTGCCTAAATCCTATGCAAAAAACCTAAATAGGAAACAATCCATGTGTGCAATTCATAGCTGATCTTATATCAATCACACAAAGAAATAAAATACTGTAGATAACATTTTCAAACTACCATGTCAGTTGAAACATTATATCGATCATTCCTAACTCAAGATGATGATCACTGTAGTCGGTAGTACGAATAATGCTAGATTACCCGCTAATAACTCGGATAAAACGGGACAACTTAAGAATTTTAAACAGGAAAACATATCATTCTTGCTTGAATTTTATGAAACTTAACGTAAAACCCTTTTCGCATCTATCATGTTTAGATAAAGTGGTATCGGTCAGGTCGTTGAAAATTTTCATTTAAATTAAGGAGTCCACAGAACCCTGCGTCAACAGTTTCACCGTATCTTATGAATTGCTTGAGTCTAATTCGACTAGAAAGGATAGTCTTCAAAATATTGTCATAAACAAGGTATTTCATTTTCATTACCTAACCTGCAACTAAAATGACAGCCGTGTGCAAACGAAATTAGTATCTAATGAGCGATTAGCTTATTATTACCGTAACTTACAGATGTAGAATGGCCATAAGATATATACAGGATAATCTGTCTTATTGACTAGGTATATGAATCGTTCTTATGTAATCGAATGTTTCAGTGAATTCAGGTACATAGAAGACCATGAAAATGGAGTGACTCTGAAAACATAGTTATCAATTTTGCTAATTCATGGACGTTTATTAATTCCTACTTCGAATTATCAATTACGCAGTTTTATGTTCAAAATGCTAGATATTTAGGCTTACCCTTGTACAATAAATGTGAGTCTTATGTTGATGTACGTGAGTCTACACATTATTCTTCAGCATACTGTAAAATTTGAAGTCAAATTAGACTCACGACAGATATAATCAGTACTTTCAGTACTCCTATGTACGAGAATAATTATAACTGAAGATGTTCTGGAATACCCTGATTCTAAAAACATGGAAAGATACAATTGAACGCGATTTAATCCACAAATATATGTACAAACTGTAGGCTTAATCATAAATGAATCATTCACGAACAACAACTGTTGCTTGTTGTTTTTTACGACCAGTTTTTAAGCGCTTCATTTGTTGTTGCTCTTTTCTTTTGATAGCAGCCCGTTTTTCAGCCATAGCACGTGCAATCTTGGCATATCGTTTCCGTTGAGCCCTAGAAAAATTGTGACAATGAATAGGTAAACATTACCCTTCACTAACTAATATGACTAGAAATATTGAGTCATGTACCCCGAATAAAAACAATGAGAATCAAGAAGATGCAAGAAACGCACACTTTGCAATAGTTTTCAGGCAGTAAACGACGCATTATCGGTTTGTAAACGGAGATATCTAAATGCTTGAAAATAGTTAATATTTATTCACACCTCAGCATATTTTGGTAGCTTGCGTGAGAGCCATTGTTGCTTTTCATTTTTAGTGATGGTCGAACAGAATAATAAATATATGTAGAATTTAACTGAAGCATCTTAATTATTATGCATTATCATCTACTGTATTCCCTATAACCTCATGCATAATCCTTAAATTATTTACTTAAGAATATACCACCAAAGGCTTTGCGTATTCAAACGTAACAGTGATGAGTTAAAATCGTACATGTGGCTAGATGGATAACTTAACAGTACAGGTGTAGTAATGGTGATCTACCAGTGTCAAGAACTTATATCGATGGTGTGTAAAACATGATGGCATTAACTGACCGAGGAGATGAAACGGTAGAAACAATCAACTACTTCACTCTCTAAGGTCCCAGATAAGCCTACTGATGACATAAAATTGTTTTGAAACTCAAAAATAATCAACAGTTACTAAATATAAAGAGTAGCAAAACTCGCATCAAACGTATTTTCCAAGAGTTCCTCTCCAACAAAACTACCACCAGAAAGATCACTATGCATCGTGAAATTATTTCTGGTAGGTTAAGAGAAATATCTTTACTACTAAACTACGAATCAAAGTAATTAATGTGAGGAAGTATGCTCTCTTTTTATTTATAAAGATTCGTAACCAAACTTAAAAACCTAGAATCATTCCCCATACACTTCAACTGATATATTCCGATGAGAATAATGATTGCTAACTGTTGGAGTCTGTTTTGTGGACTAATACTATACATATATTTTTATCGTATAATTGTCAAGTAACTAAACTACTCATATTCGTGTTCCTCTTATCATAAACTTTATTTTGACCTATGAACTATTATTATACGATTTACCATTCTTGATTTATGCCCTGTCTATCAATTACTATCTCCCACATTCACAACCACATATGGCTGAATCTTGTACAAATGTTATTTTCTATTTTATGGTACGATGTGGTCTGGTTGGCTGATATATAAACTCAGTATGTTTGAAATACATGATTCATATCGCGGAGGCTCATATTCGTGTTCTACGTTATAACTTGTGCCCTGAATCATATTAATGTATGACGTAATGATACCATCAATTAGAGAATAGTGAATTATCGACTGGACCAATGATGCATAAAACAAGTACGAGAAGTCTTGAGTCTTTATTGGTCCGGTGTCAAACAAGGTTGCTCACTCACACCCTTTCCCTTTCTCCTGGTGATCGACTGAATCATGAAGACGTCAACGTCTGAGGGGAAGCATAGGATACAGTGGATAGCTAGGATGCAGGTGGACGACCAAGACCTCGCAGATGATCTGGCTCTTCTATCGCACACATAACAACAAATGCAGGAGAACACCAGTACAGCTGCAGATGCTCCAGCAGTAGGTCTCAACATACACAAAGGGAAAAGCAAGATTCTCCGATACAACACAGTATGCACCAATCGAATCACACTTGATGGAGAAGCTTTGGAGGATGTAAAAACCTTTACATATCTGGGCAGGATCATTGATGAACTCGGTGGATCTGATGCAGATGTGAAGGCATGGGTCGGTAAGTCAAGAGCAGCATATCTACAATTGAAGAACATCTGGAACTCAAAACAACTGTCAACCAACACCAAAGTCAGAATTTTCAATACAAATGTCAAAACAGTTCTACTGTCTACTGGGGCGGAAACCTGAAGAACTAAGAAAGCCATCACCCAGAAGATACAAGTGTTTATTAAGAGCTATCTACGCAAAATACTTCGGATCCGTTGACCAGACACTATCAGCAACGATCTATTGTGGGAGAGAACAAACCAGATCCCAGAGGAGGAAGAAATCAGGAAGAAGTGCTGGGAGTGGATAGGACGCACATTGAAGAAATCACCCAACTGTGTCACAAGACAAGACCACACTTGGAATCCTCAAGGTCAAAGGAAAAGAGGAAGACCAAAGAACACATTACACTGAGGAATGGAGACAGACATGGGAAAAATGAACGAAAATTCGATAGAATTGGGAAGGAATGCCCAGGACAGAGTGTGTTGGAGAATACTGGTCGGTGACCTATGCTCCATTGGAAGTAACAGGCGTAAGCATGTAAGTCAATAATGAGATATACATTTTATGCTACTAAGAGGTAAGTTGTGTAAATGATTACGAAATATTTCCTGAGTTATTCAGAAGTAACTTCCTTAGATAAAGCAATACACTATCAATCAAGTATTCGACAACAAACACAAAAGCAAACTAAACTTACTTCATAATTTCAGCATTAGCTAGAAGCTCATCTACAAGTGTTTTCCCTCTTTGTTTTCGCGGCAGTCTATCGTAGAAGCTTCCAGGATCATCTACAACTACACCTCTCTAAAACAAATTATTAAAGGGAGAGAAGACAGTTAAGATAACGTGATTTGTTTCTTACAAGGTAATTAAGATAATAGTTAGTAACTAGTTCAACTAAATCGGCATGGAATTTAATCAGTCCAGCATTATAAAAATAATAAGATATCACAGAAGGAAAAACTATATACACAGACAGATAACAGTAAATATGTAGAGGTGGATTTAATCATGTTATTTAAAGCCTACACCCAACAATACGCGAAATTTAAATAACCCTACAAAAAGTTGTCATTCACTTAGCATTAACAAAACAGTGTTTTGTGTGAAAACACACACGGCATTCTAACACGGAAACAAAACTTTGAGGTCAGAGTTAGTAATCCTCATGAATAAATTATGTAGAAAACGAGATAGTAACGAAAACTTAAGAATTAATAAGTTCAAATGTCCGTACAATGGTTGGAAGAAAGATCCTTCAATGAAATAGTAAGTTTCAACACAAATTTTTTAAAACAGATAACAGACAAAATGATTTGAAATGAGTCAACTACTGCCTACAAACGGAAGGAAATAAAGTAAATAAGTATTAAAACTCATTAACCAAATAAAGGATTGTGGTTTGGGAGTTAAGTGTGAAGCCTAGAGCTGATGCTTATCTGTCATAACCCAAGTAGATAGAGAGAGAGAGATTTAGACTAAGAACCTGATAGTCGAAAACAGAATGTTTATAATATTATATTGCACATCTTTACGTACATGTTGAATAGTAAGGGATTTATTTATTGATGCTTTTTTTGAAATTTTTATATGCCTGTTAATTTAACAGTAGATTTATATAACTCGAATCCAGAAATAAAAAATTACCAACACACTAATTTATACAAGGTTGATACAACAACACCTTGAAGGAACAACTGCTTATATTTTTATAACTATTAAAAAATATGACTTGGGTGTATAAAAATATCGCAGCAATAAGAAGCTAAAAATAGATAAATATCATACCGAAATAGCATAAATCCACAATGATTTACCTGGAAGTAAGCAGACTTCCCATCCGATCTTCTCACGTGTGTATCTGATGAAATAGCGCGACGTAATCTAATTAATTCTAAATCATCACGATCTTCTTCAGTGACATCAGGTCTCGGAAGATCAAACCAGTTTGACAGTTTGCTTTTGCGTTCAGCCTACAGACAAAAATCAAAACAGGTGTAATTTAACGCCTGACAAACGTAAAACATTATTTTAACGGAAATAACGGCCTTTTTACTGACGACTAACAACTTACTGTTTCGCTTGCAAAGTAGAGCTACTTATTTGGTAAGTTACCTAAATATTCCAACAAATTGCATGCCTACTGTGTCTGCTTTAAAAACCAATTGTGTGAGACAACCGTACCACTTACCAATACCTAATTTTTACTTAAACCTGTTACCCTTCGTGGAGGAAAACCAGTCACCCATAATAATTCTTCATCGAACTTTACCCTAGGTAATCCATTCCAGTTGTTTCCAGCTGCTATCTATCCTTTTAATGTCTGCTTCCAATTCTAAACTTAGTGTTTTTTTTTATCTTCCTCTTTTCCGTTTCCCTTCGAGATCCAAAATTAGCGCCTATCTCGCCATACAGTCTGATAATTTCCACAATGTATGTCCTATCCACCTCCGTTGCCTTTTCCTAATTTTCTCTTCAGCTGGTTTGTTCTCTCCAACAGTAGACTGTTGCTGATGGTATCCGGCAAACGGTCATTCAGTGTCCCGTGTAGACAATTATTTATAAATACTCGCGATTTTTTGATGATGGTGGTGATAGTTCTCCAAGATTCAGCCCAGTACAGTAGAACTGTCTTCACGTTCGCATTGAAGATTCTGATTTTGATGTTGGCTGACAGCTGTGTTGCCAATCCTTGATTTTAGGTCTGCATCAGATCCTCCTTGTCCACCTCTTCCAGAACTTCTTCATCAAGTGTGATTGGGTTGTTGTTCTCCATGTTGTATTTAAGGATCTTGCTTTATCCCTTGTGTGTGTTTAGGCTTACTGATGGAGCGGCCTCTCCCATAATGGTTATCTTGACCTGCACTTGCTCGTGTGTATGGGATGTAAGGGTTGAGTCATTCGACACGTCCGAATTGTCTACTTCTATCCAAGTTGTCCATTGTATTCCGTTCTTCCCCATAGATGTCAAAGTCTTCATAATCAAATCAACCACCAGAACAAAGAGGAAGAGTGAGCGGTCTTGTCTGACTCCGGTCCTTACTCGGAATGCGTCTGTCAGCTATCTCTCACGCACCACTTTGCAGTGTAGTCCGTCGTATGAATTCCTTATGATGTTGACGATTTTCCATAAGGTTTTCCTTTCCACGTTGTCAAACACCTTCTCATAGTCAAGGAATCTGATGTATAGTGACGAGTTTCATTTAGTTGATTGTTCAACAATGATCCATAGTGTCGTGATTCGGTCTGTGCACAACCGATCCTTACGGAATTCGGTCTGTTGATCTTGAAGTACGGTGTCTACTGAATCTTTCATCCGGTTCAGCAATACTCTTTAGAAAACGTTTCCTGGTACCCATAGTAGTGTGATACCTCTGTAGTTTTCACATTTGCTTAGATCTCCTTCCTTTTGAAAGATGTTTTGATGATCCTGGGTCTACGAGATTCTCATCCTATAAGTGCTTTACATGCTCCTTTGGACAGCATCAAAGCAACTCCGTGAGTGTGCGAAGCATTTTCTTCTTCGTGACTACGGCACAGTAGCATCTCTCCTGAACCTATCATTTTCTGCCCAGCTTGGGTCCAACGGGTTTCACTGATTTCGAACACCTTCAAGTCTTATCTCCTCATTTCCCCAGATATTTGGTTAATCCTTCCGGTCTCTCACATTGTCCGGACATTCCATGCACCTATACTAATTGTTGCTCTGATTGTTAGAAAACGTATCGGCCTTGTGACTACTGAGAAATATCGGTTTCCACCATGAGGCATCATAATTCCTCCTTCAACTCTGAGGGCAGAGTTTAAATGATTTGATTTGTTTATTCTGGTTAGCCTATTTATAGCAAGGTTGTTTTCTACGGGATGGCAATGCTGACCCCATGCCCAACCCTCATCCTTTACTGGGGATTGAGACCTGCAGTAGCCCTAGAAGAGATACAACACAACTAACCGACATGCTAAATACTTAAAGTTCAAGAAGTTCCCTAGTGGCTGGAGACATACACTAAAAGGAATGAATATCTGCACCTCAAATAGTTTTTGATAGGAAACAACTGTTAGGAGTGAATTATCTCCAATCTTTATATGCATAACTATGTACTGTAACTGTTATGTGAATATAATTCAAGGATCTTGGTTACATGATTTCTATGATGATAATTTGGCATTACTACATAGTTTCAAGATTTACCGTCTGAATTTCAATCCTGAAAAATACAAAGTGCAGTGTTAGTGTTGCTACGCTTGTAAATATGATCTGAGGTGAGTTTAACTATATGCGTTTTAGGTTTTTAAATGATTACATCAACCACCTGATGTTCATAATTCCATTCGATGTATATATGAATCTTTAATGCACTTCACCTACAATATCCATTTTTCCTGACTAGTGCACTGGATTTGATGTCACTGTCCTCATTGGTTATCTTTGAATCGTACGTGGTGATTTCAATTCAGGTAACTGTAACTTTCATACACTACTCAGTCACCAAGACCTCATCATGATTCAGTTGTCTTTTAAGATAAGCCTTCGTGGAATAGCATTTATGATTACACAAGTAACTTATCAGTAGACGAGGGTAAAAGAAGGCTGAAATACATACGCTTGTACAGAAAATCGGACTTACGACTTTAAAAAGTGTCAGAACTCACTCGACGAATTCGTTTCAATTCCCGCTTGCTGTGGAGACCAGGTACTGCTGTTAGGTAATAAGGATTCTTTCCAGAAAGAAAAACAGTAATAATTTCGTTATTTCAAGTTATTAAGGAACCAACAAATGCGTCACACAAAATTAGAATGCAATTTTACAAAAACATAAAATCAAAACAAGAAAAATATTAAAGAGAAGAATACAATAATCAAAAGATATATATATATATATATATATATATATATATATATATATATATGTTGAGTAACCGATTTATTCTTCAAGGAATGTTTTAACTGATGAACATATATCTCCTAAGAGAAGAGTAGGTCAAATGGCTACAAATATAGCTCATTTATCAAGTACAGGTTCAAGTACTCAGCTATGAGTCACACTTTCTAATGAAAAGTGCTGACATTACTAGCTACACAGACCGAAGTATTTACGAGATTTGAACTTGTGATTTATTGATTGAAGGTTAAATTTTCTAGCCACCGTTTCACAACTATTAAATTGCAACCACAATTAGTACATGTTACTAATGATTCGCAAAGTACGATAAATTGTTTCACTATTTCAAGTCAGTTCTGAATCCCAACCGGAATATATTAATGCTAGTAACGTACTGACAAATAAAGCAGAGAACAATTACTGATCCTGTCAGTAATAATACTAGATCACATAGAAGTAGAGTAAACAGGTTAATCAGATACTATAAGATGAATGAAAGCACAATCGAATACGGAGGATATTGTCTTACCCAATTTCACCCATAAGGATCCATACCAACACAAATAGTATTAACTTCATAAAACCAAATGTTTAATCAGCTAACCTCACTCGGCGGCTTCTCACTATCGACCACACTAGTACTGGTTGTTAATATACCCAATCCTTGCCATAATTTTGCTTCCTGTTCGGCATTATACACGTCTGGTTTGGAAGCAAAGGGGTTTTCCAAAAGACTGTAGTCAACAGGACAATTTTGGAGATATTCAGACGAGCAATCAGACAGTTTTATTGGGGGCTTCCACCTAAATTTTTTTTAAATAATGGATTTAAAACAATAATACACAAGTATTTTAGATGCAATATAAAAAGGTAGTTTCGAATGAAAGCCATAGGTGTTTACTTCATTTAATAATACGTTAGTTTATACTTCTCAAGTTAATTGTAATTAACCTAGAGACCGTTTCAGTACGATTTAGCTCATGCTACGATTGGACATTAAACGATAGTACTACAGCTATAAGCACGTATTATATATATATATATATATATATATATATATATATATATATATATATATATATATATATATATATAACTACATTATCAATTTTACACATAACTAGCCGAAACATACACGTAAGATGTGCTGTAGGGTATAAAAGAAAGTTCTTCTTCGTCCATTGTGCAGTGTGTGATGAGTGACTGTAAATTCAGGTGCCAACCAGTTTGCCGGAAAATAAAATGAATAACCTAAAGATCAAGAATAGAAGCGAACGGTAATATCAAAGAAACTATTGTATAAGAAACAGGTGTACATCACCTACAGAACAAAAGTTCAGTGAATTTATTTGTTTTATTTATGTGAACACATAAATATTGGTACAAAGAGGCACCGAATACATATGCTCTACACAAGTCACTTAATTTGTGTGTGGGCAGGATCCTGGAGCCCAAGTGCACCATTGGTTTGGAATCAGGGTTTTCCAACTCCCTAAGGTGTATCCTCCATATCCACCAACCTGGTTAAAGTACCGGACATTCGCTTTTCGTCCTCTTAATTTCGTAAACAACACCCCCGCTGCGAGGACTTCTCTGGCAGTGGCTGTATACGTGTGGCCATGTGAGGGCATTTCGAGAGGGAGAGAGAACTCTTTCCACCCTCGGCCGTACCAGGGCATTTTGGCGCCGTTCAGTGAAACAGTCCAAGCGTTTAAAGCTCAGTCTTGATCCAAGACTGCTGACTAAAAGGTAAATCATATAACTCAGTGACTAGAAATCTCTGATATTTGTAACATAAAAGACTAAAGTAATGCGACTGCACAATCAAGAAGCTAGAAATAAATAGTCTAAAATAATGCATACTGAGTTGTGTGGTATATATTCTTTGTAAAAAGCCATCTTAATTTCCCGAACTAATATTTGTTACCAGTTAATCATGATCACATTTCATCGTGCTACAAGTTGATTGCTTGTAAATTAAAAAGCAATTGTCACCCTGCTCACATTTGTGGTGTGTAAATACAGTGATCGAATTTTGGGCTAAAATTTCTTGGTATAAGCCGGAAATAATCGCAGGCTGTATAAAGATATAGGTAGGGGGGCACTTAGTGCGCCAAGTTACCACCGCTAACCGTTAAAATGGGTGGTGGTTTGAGACAAATTAGAATGTCAGACCAAAATGATGGAAATTGTTGTAACTTTAGTGAATGGATACAGAAATGGATATAAAAGTGAGGATGTTGTTCGCACACTTAACAGCAACCAGACTTGTCCCACTTATTGTTCCGCCTGGAGCCTTCCTGGGGTTACCGCCAGTTCAAGAAGCACTGGACAACGGGGCGGACAACATCATGAAACGTTCATACGGTCTTCCTTCGGGATACTGATAAATTCTGAGCGACATGGCTCAGAATCGACCACAATGGCGTCGGTGTATTCACTTTTTGTCTTCCCTTAAACAATGAGATTAAAATCGCTTCATATCTTTCTTTCTACTAAATAATTCTTTCCTCCTGTACTATATCATTATACAAAACTTTTATACATTACTACCATTGAAGTTACTACTTCTATGAATTCGGCGTTCATCTTGTTGTGCTAATGAGGTATGGCAACTTGGACCGATGTACATGTGCCTGGTCCTACGTCATAACTGACAACGAATTCAAGATAGCCATCAGAAATAGGTCGCAGGCCTTTCACGATCTACTCAATGGAGAGGAAACCACTGTGGAGAACAACTGGAAGGAAATCAGGGAGGCAATCACTTCAACATGTCATGAGGTTCTGGGCCACAAGAAGCATCATCACAAGGAATGGATCACTGCTGACACACTGGGTAAAAATCAAAAAAGGAAGAACAAGAAGGCAGCAGAGAAAGCTATGGCACAAGCTGAATACACAGAAGTAAACAAGGAAATGGAGAGGAACATCAGAACATACGAACGTAAATATGTGGAAGATCTAGCAATGACGGCAAAAAAACTACAAGAGAAGGAAACATGAGACAATTGTATGATACAACAAAGAAGCGCGCTGGAAATTATCGTAAACCAGAACGATCATTAAAAAACAAGAAAGGCAAAGTAACCACCAACTTTGAAGAACAGCGAAACAGGCAAGTAGAACACTTCGAGGAGCTCTTGAATCGACCAAACCCACTGTATCCACCCAACACCGAAGCAGAACCCACGGACCTCCCAATCGATGTCGGCCCACCAACAACTGAAGAGGTCAGCATGGCCATCAGACAAGTTAAGAGTGGCAAAGCAGCTGGACCAGACAACATTCCAGCAGAGGCACTAAAAGCAGATGTAGGAGTAACTGTAAGGATACTCCATATTCTCTTCAGCAAGACTTCGGATGAAGAACAAGTACCAAAACACTGGAAAAGACACCTGATCAAAATACCAAAGAAAGGCAATCTCAGCAGGTGTGATAACTACAGGGGCATCACTCTTCTCTCAATACCAGGAAAAGTCTTTTAAACAGAATAAAGGACTCCTTAGACGCCCAACTTCGAGACCAACAGGCTGAATTCCATAAGGATCGGTCGTCTACAGATCGAATCACAACACTACGGATCATTGTGAAACAATCAATTGAATGAAATTCATCACTATACATTAAGTTCATTGACTACGAGAAAGTATTTGATAGCGTGGACAGGACAACACTATGGAAGCTTCTTCGACAGTCAATATCATACGAATTCCTATGATGGATTAAACTGCAAAATCGTGCATGGAGGACAGTTGACAAAGTTGTTTGACGTAAAGGTCAGTGCCAGGCAAGGTTGCTCACTCACACCCTTTCCCTTTCTCCTGGTGATCGACTGAATCATGAAGACGTCAACGTCTGAGGGGAAGCATAGGATACAGTGGATAGCTAGGATGCAGGTGGACGACCAAGACCTCGCAGATGATCTGGCTCTTCTATCGCACACATAACAACAAATGCAGGAGAACACCAGTACAGCTGCAGATGCTCCAGCAGTAGGTCTCAACATACACAAAGGGAAAAGCAAGATTCTCCGATACAACATAGTATGCACCAATCGAATCACACTTGATGGAGAAGCTTTGGAGGATGTAAAAACCTTTACATATCTGGGCAGGATCATTGATGAACTCGGTGGATCTGATGCAGATGTGAAGGCATGGGTCGGTAAGTCAAGAGCAGCATATCTACAATTGAAGAACATCTGGAACTCAAAACAACTGTCAACCAACACCAAAGTCAGAATTTTCAATACAAATGTCAAAACAGTTCTACTGTCTACTGGGGCGGAAACCTGAAGAACTAAGAAAGCCATCACCCAGAAGATACAAGTGTTTATTAAGAGCTATCTACGCAAAATACTTCGGATCCGTTGACCAGACACTATCAGCAACGATCTATTGTGGGAGAGAACAAACCAGATCCCAGAGGAGGAAGAAATCAGGAAGAAGTGCTGGGAGTGGATAGGACGCACATTGAAGAAATCACCCAACTGTGTCACAAGACAAGACCACACTTGGAATCCTCAAGGTCAAAGGAAAAGAGGAAGACCAAAGAACACATTACACTGAGGAATGGAGACAGACATGGGAAAAATGAACGAAAATTCGATAGAATTGGGAAGGAATGCCCAGGACAGAGTGTGTTGGAGAATACTGGTCAGCGACCTATGCTCCATTGGGAATAAAAGGTGTAAGCAATTAGTCGACAACTACCTAGGGTGGATGTTACATATAAGCCTTGACCAGCTGGTTGCTAAACTTTCGGACAATGAAAAAAGATGGAAACATGTATATTAACAACAACAATAAACTAGTGGCCAAAGCTACAATGCGGAGAAACTGAGCGACTCTTAAAATAACCTTAGAGAGCAGAAAAAGCTTTAAAGAAAAAGATTTTAATGCCTTTAGATCTTAGAACATGACTCGTAGTTCTGACGATTAATTTGAGGTTTTTTTCGATTGGGAATTAAGATGGCTTAAAAGGAGTAACTCATATGGATTATCATCTATATAACATCCATTATAGTTTCTTTTTAGAGCAATTGTTCCCCCAGTCCACTTTTTATTATACCCCATTTAAAACCGTTGTCATAATGAGTTTTGGGGACACCATTGCAATATTGATACTATTACAACGATAAAATCACTATTTTTCAGTTGATTTTGAACGCATGAAATGGAATCGGCTTTTTGGAAATTAAGCGTACTTCAGACCATAGACCATATATCTGTGCATATAATTCCCAACCAGATGAAGTCTCTATTGTTTTGTTGAAGACATGAACACAATTGAGAATCGTGTTGTCTTTTTTAACATATGAATGGTATGACCTATCTATTCATTCCTAGTTAGTATTATATTGATCATTTTTCAGTAAGAATGAAAGTAGACTGATTTATTTTGTGTCAACCAATTAGTGTCTTCGAAAATGTCAATCACACCAATGGATTGGAAATCCCCAGGGACTGTTGAGAGGAAATATTGTATGACATCATTTTCCGAAACCGAGAAAGCTGTATTCCTGGTTAGGAAAAATTCCCATAAAAAGTTAATCGTGATTCTGTAGCGGAAAATATACTCTAGATGTAAGACAGGATTAACAAAAGCCGGCAAGACTATAATCTATTGACCAACCAACCAGATTTACGATGACAGGTCTTAGATTTCAGAGCGAAATCCTCCATCCGTTTGGCCAAATAGCGTTTTGGCATTTTAGCTTATGCCAGTTCGTGTTGAAGACCGTAATTCTAATTCCTAACCCTAACCACTAACTGTAAGTTATAATCCTTATACTTCACACAGGTTTAAAACCTTCATTTAGCCCTAGTATATACTAGGGCTACATATGTAGGTGAACATTCTCAAGGCAACTTCAGCGTCGCTCAAAGGTCGCCCATAAATTATGGTCTCACCAAACTAATCTCAAACTAGGTATATTACATGTTCCCACCATTGATCTTGTAAGGCTAATAGAGAAAAGTCCCGTCCCACATACTTCTCAAACTACACCAGGCCCTCGACCTTGAACTGTTGAAGGATGTGCTGGGTCGTCCACTTAAGTTAACAAATGGACTGAAATAATAATATACAATGAGTGGACAATGAGTGACCATGAAAGGAGAAATTGGAGAAGCGGGAAAACAAGTGATAGTTTAAAACAGTTTCAGCACTGTCAAATGGAAAAAAAGAGTCCTTTCGAAATAGTTTCTTGCATCGTCCAGTAAGTATGATCAATTCAATCACTGGATTTTTACCTCTATCGCATTTACTGCTCGTCACTCTGAAAAAGACAGAGACTCTCGATTCCAGGGGTTCGGTTATTTGAACCTTTTCCAACAGTTCACTGTCTCTTCTTAGACGGGGCTAGCTGCTTATAGGTAGCACTTCAATCTAAGACGAGCAAACACCGTATACAAAATCAAAAAGGTCTAAGCATTGATATGACTCAAAGCTCAACACACTCATCATAGGGATCTAAAACCCGTGGCGGCTATCGTATGGTAGTTTGAGGTAGTTTTTAACTTTTGACAAACGATGACTCCTAAGTCTGTGTCCGGACAACAGGTACAAATGTTATATACGAACGAATACTAGATGAATGATAACTACTCTGAATTGTTCATGGACTATCATTAAATATATTTCTATTGGGTAATAATTAAGTAACTAGATTATGTATATATACATATTCCCTTTTATCAAAATCGTCCATCTGACCTATTGGCTACTGTTAACGTATTCACAGATTATTCGTCTTAGTATACCACACACGTACCCACTTTTGGATCGGTCTTGTATAATTATTACTTCTCATTCTATGGTGTGATACGGTCTAGTTTGCCTGTATAAAAACCACGTATATCTGAAATATACGATTCACATATCGGAGACCGATATTTGTGTTCTGGACTGGACGGACTGAGTTGGGCGAGAAGCTACTATACAGAGAACCGATTAGGCACAGAGTTGACTCAACATTGCTAGTGCTGGTCAACGCATCACTAGTCTAGCACAGAGACAACGTCATGGATGTCGGTATTCCAATTGGTGATTTTGTCAATAACAATCGTAATACAGTTGAAAGCAGTTATCATTGTCTGCCAAATTCCAGACCATTAAGATAATCTCTCTAGGTTAGTTTAAAGGTCTGAACTGTCGCCATCACTTTTTATAGCTCTTTATCAGAAGCCTTACTGAAGTCAATGTAGGCTACATATATGGGCTACCTTCGATCTTTAAGAACGCATCAGATTTCATGGGTTGCCAATATGTTTGTGAGACATGAACAACCCATTATAAATCCATACTACTTTCAAGAAAGGATCAGGTTTTCGCTTAAATACTTGAATAATCCCTTCCTTAATCTCTAAAATTTCAACAAACACCCTGGTTAAGCTTACAACTCGATAACCTTCAAGTTTATCTCGTACCTATTTTGAAAACAGAACTTACTATGGCGTTCTTCTACTTGGGGTTACAGATAAATTAAAAAGTATGCTTAAGGGATCAGCGATAACATTTACCGATTCCTCTAGCGACTTAGCATACGTATTATCTGGTCCCATGGATTTTCCTATATCGAGCTTCTTTAGCAGACCGAAGACATAGGGTTCGTTAATGGTCATGGTGTCCAGAGTGTGTAGTTGGGGTTGTATAAACTTACGACTACCTGGCCGTAGCTATGATCGTCCTCCACTATTGTCTCCCTATGATGCTGAGATGCCGCATCTTATCTTAGTCCTTCGATTTATGTACGAGTATGAGCTCTCCTTTATATAATCTTCTAGATTTGCGGAAGTACGCGACACAAATATTTCAAGTTCCCCAACATTTAAATTTTGTCGCATCAGTATCCAGTGTCCTAAATTTCTCCTATATTCTTTTCCTCTTACATGGATGGGTGCAAATATTCTTATTTAATCATGAAATGTATCTTCGCGAGCTTCTTTGTGTAGTCCAATTGATGTACGGTGCACTACATTTATGTAAAAATTTCCGAATATCTTCCAGGCCGTTTCAGTGGACGATTCTGATCATGTAGTCTACTTTACTGAGAATTCTGAATGCATGATTTCTCGTGTATTTTCTTCCTAAACGTTTTATGTGACTTGGGGTGACACATCGTTGTTGACGACGATATGGAAATCAGGGATTAGAAATTCATGACACTCTCACATTTGTCTGTCATACGATGGAGTTTTGTGGCAACCTCTATCTATTTGGCCATTGTGAAATTTACCAAGGATGATTATGAGTTCGAGTCGTACCAAATTGCTTCCTTCACAATTTGCACTAGTGGTCATGTGTAACCCTGCCAACCAGTTTCTGTTCATAACAATCTTCCAAATCCGCGGACCCCAAATTTTTCCAGTCTACTGTAGGTGCATTAAGGTCTCCTAAGAATAAACGTCGACCACTTGACGACCAAGTGTCGAAACCGTCTAGTTAGACCTCATTCATCTCACAGTTGGGACTGTGGTAGACCGAACCAATTAGCAGTAATCTGAGTTCCAGTCGAAACAATTAATGAAAAAGGACATAGTATATGGTCTACTAGGAATTTATTTATCATTAACAAGCAAGTAACATTTCTAATTTACATGTGTGTTTGATTTTGAATACATGAAATACATTTTAATGTGCTTTACGTGAATAAGAATTTCACACACTAAATACTTAAATTTTGATCCTTTATTAAAAATTCGGTACTCAGTATCTGTTTAAGACAAATAAACTACCAACTGTAGTAATTTAAAGCTACTTCAGGTCTCAATCCCCAGTAAAGGATGAGGGTTGGGCATGGGGTCAGCATTGCCATCCCGTAGAAAACAACCTTGCTATAAATAGGCTAACCAGAATAAACAAATCAAATCATTTAAACTCTGCCCTCAGAGTTGAAGGAGGAATTATGATGCCTCATGGTGGAAACCGATATTTCTCAGTAGTCACAAGGCCGATACGTTTTCTAACAATCAGAGCAACAATTAGTATAGGTGCATGGAATGTCCGGACAATGTGAGAGACCGGAAGGATTAACCAAATATCTGGGGAAATGAGGAGATAAGACTTGAAGGTGTTCGAAATCAGTGAAACCCGTTGGACCCAAGCTGGGCAGAAAATGATAGGTTCAGGAGAGATGCTACTGTGCCGTAGTCACGAAGAAGAAAATGCTTCGCACACTCACGGAGTTGCTTTGATGCTGTCCAAAGGAGCATGTAAAGCACTTATAGGATGAGAATCTCGTAGACCCAGGATCATCAAAACATCTTTCAAAACAAATGAGGGAATCACAATGAATGTTATCCAACGTTATGCACCCACCAATGATAGCAACGACAACGATAAATATCAGTTTTGCGAGAGGCTGTAATCTCATAGCAAAGTGCTCATGAAAAGGAGCACTGGAGCAGACAATCAGAAATGCGTAGAAGAGATAGCAACGACAGTGGAAGAGCTGCAACAGAAGAAAATATCAGACAACTATATGACACAACAAAGAAACCGACAGGGAAGTATAGTAAACGAGAGAGACCAGTCTAGGACAAAGAAGGAAAGCCAATCACTGAAACTGAAGAACAGATGAATAGATGGGTAGAACACTTTGAGGAGCTCTTGAATCGGCTAGTTCCATTAAATCCACCGGACATCGAAGCAGCGCCTATAGACCTTCTTATAGATGTCACCCCACCAACGGTCGAGGAAATCGGGATAGCCATCAGACAAATGAATAGTGGGGAAGCAGCAAGACCTGACAATATACCAGCCGAAGCACTGAAGTCAGACATAGAAGCAACTGCAAACATGTTACAAGTCCTATACATGAAGACTTGAAAGGAGGAACAAGTGCCGACGAACTGGAGAGAAGGATACCTCATCAAGATACCAAAGAAAGGAGATCTAAGCAAATGTGAAAACTACAGAGGTATCACACTACTATGGGTACCAGGAAACGTTTTCTAAAGAGTATTGCTGAACTGGACGAAAGATTCAGTAGACACCGTACTTCGAGATCAACAGACCGAATTCCGTAAGGATCGGTTGTGCACAGACCGAATCACTACACTATGGATCATTGTTGAACAATCAACTAAATGAAACTCAATTGCATGAACGAAGAATATTCTTTTCAATAATTTCTCATCAGGTTCTACAATTATAAATCCAAATTAATAATCCATAAAATTGGCCAGATTTAAGGTAGAGTTCATCATTTGGAATTTGTAATATGTTAATTGAGAATTGTTGTTTGTTACATAAAACCAATTAAGATCTCTTATAAACTGATTCAAGTTAACACTTTATATTAAACAACCTCAACATTAACGATCTTAATTGGTTTTACATAACAAAAAACAATTCTCAATTAAATCTGGCCAATTTTACGGATTATTAATTTGGATTTATAATTGTAGAACCTGATGAGAAATTATTGAAAAGAATATTCTTCGCTCATACAATTGTGTTTTAATATAAGTGAAACTCTTCACTATACATCAAATTCTTTGACTATGAGAAAGTGTTTGACAACGTGGAAAGGATAACCTTATGGAACCTACTTTGGCACTATGATGTACCTGAGAAAATCATCAACATCATACAGAACTCGTACGATGGACTACATTGCAAAGTGGTGCTTGAAAGATAGCTGATAGACGCATTGCTAGTAAGGATGCTGTACGACGTTCAACATGAGTCTTTATGCCAGCAACGTGCGCGTGTCAGAAAACCGAAGATTTGTGATTGTTTAATTTCGACAAGTGAATACTTTTGGATTCTTATTCCCTGGTACTCTTCACATTTAACTTGACCACATGTAAATTTGCAAGCTATTGATATGTTTTTAAATGTCGATTGGTTACTAATCAGGTTTTTAATCATCTAGTGATTTTCTCTGTTCTAAACACGTTCATCTTATAGGGATTAACTAGGTTTTACATAACAATTGATCAAAAATAGATGGATGAATTTTGGAATTCAATGTTAGTGATATCTTTTTTCTCCTGTTAATTGTTTTTTTTCCGAAAATTACAATGTGATATGTCACTGACATGAATGGTATCAGTATGTAATGATATCAGAGTAAATATATTCAAGAAAATTTAATTTAACAATAATGAAAATACATGAAAGACATA